AACAGGCCTGATAGTGGCCAAGGTGTATTTTTTCGGATTTGATGTAGATACATCTTCTTATCAACCTAACCTAATTCTTATCAATTGTTTACGAAATGTTTAATAAATAAAAACCTATTCAAAAATGTATAAAAGCTTTGGAAGATCTGTCCTAAATAGGTTGATTATATTTTATGTTTTGGATGGCAATTAAAACAATGTTTTATTATAAAATTTCTAAAACTTATTAAATTATGAATTTAAAAATACACACAATCGATTTAAATAGACGCTTTTACTGAAATTTTTGATTTAACAAGTAGAATGTAGAAAAGTTATAAATTACTACTTTTTTATTGAGTTCTAATACATATTTTTTAAATAACGTTCATTTAAACATGCAACATGTTTTCAATAGTAGTAGACCATAGAAAAAACAACACCCAAAGAAAATTAAAGATTGTCTAGCTACACAAGTACAAACGTGGCTTTCGCTTTACGGCCAATTTCTGAATGTTTGCGACTTTTAAATAAAAAGGAATCATAGTTCTAGCATATACCTATACACTTTTATTAAGGGCAAATTTGAAATTTAGGTTCCATAAATTTTTTGCATTAAAAAATCGATCCATACATATTTGAGAAAATATACAATTACACGGTTTATGGATATTGAGAAAATAAAGTGCTGAATCAAAATAATTCCGAATTGTTTAATACGAGTTTCAATGAATTGAGTACGATTTTAGAATTTAATTTTGAGATCTCTTTATGCAAATATACATGATAAATGAATAAACATAGCTATAATTATAATACGAAACAGAAAGTATTAAAAATTGGCCGTTTATAAAATCACGGATGTACGTTTATAAGATTTTAATTTGATTTAATATTTATTATTTTTCTGCAACAACAATTAAAATTTTACTGTTAGCAAAAGTTTGATGGTGAAAATCATTATTATTAATTAAACATTTTAAAATAATAATGTTTTATTTGTTAAAAATTATCGTTTTTGCACTTCCATTACAAGCAAAAAATAGGATCTATTAGACTCAAATTTGAAGCTGTAAGTAACATCAACGAATTTTGAATGCCCTATGGAAAGAATTAGACTTAAATAATGACAAATAGATCAATAGATCAATTAAAAAAAGTCTGCTTAGGCCGATGTGGTGCTCAAAATTTTTAACCTAAAAGGATTCACAGAATTTGAACAAAGTAACAAACGGATTTTCAGATGTAACATATATGTAGGTGGATGAAACAGATTGATGAAAGATGCATTTGTTGTAATGCATAAATAGTTGTAGTAGCACTTCGTCATCGTCAATGGCTACAATTGAAACTTATTATGAAAAAGAGAAGAAATTTGCAAAATCCACAATAACAATAGAAAATATTTATGAAAAAAAAAAATAAAAATAAAATAAAATAAAGAAAGAAGCACGCATTCAAAAGCGTTGGACTGATAAGTTGATCAGTTAGCTGCTACATTATGAGTAGTAAGAGTACATCTCGTACAGTTTACTTAGTCAGTCAGTAACTAACTAACTGTTGGTGTGGATTCAGCTAAAAGTTTTTACTAATTGTGATAAACAGAGCATGATTGGCAAAAGTCGTAGAAAACAGACTTGTGGTGTGATGCATGCATATTCATATATTTATTTCATTTTATTTATTTATCTGTACTTCATCCAACAACTAAGTATTGAAGTACAGAATACATATGTTTGTGCATTCATTGTTTAGTTTAGTTGCCTGCTTTAATATTTATTTGGAGGATTGGATGCAATTTGCCCAGTTAGCCGTATAGAGGGTTTTGTCTTAAGTGTAGATTTTTGTCAAAATTTAAAATGTTTAAAAAATGTATATAGTCTAGTCTTTAGTCTAGTTTATAGTCTAGTCTATAGTGTGGGTTATAGTTTAGTCCAGTTTATAATCAGGTATATAGTCTAGTCCATAGTTTAGTCTATAGTCTAGGCTATAGTCTAGTCTATAGTCTAGTCAATAGTCTAGTCTATAGTCTAGGTACAGTGAAATAGCTCCCAAATGAAATAACTCCCAACGATTAAAATGAAATAAAACCCAATTTCATAAAAATTAACTTTTAAAATGAAATAACTTCCAAAGTTTAAAATGAAATAATTCCCAGTAATTGGAGTTAAGCAATTTATTTGTGTAAAATAACTTTCAATGCAATAATTCCCAACAGAAGTGAAATAACTCCCAACTCCTTAGGAAAGCGTGTTGGACAGCAGGCCTTCGGCCGGGCGCAAGTGTTTTAAAGTCTGTGGTATTTCACACACCGGCTTTGCTAAATTAAGCATTTTCTATATAAATAGACTATTTGTATTTCATGGAACTTATATCACTATGTTCATAAACATTATGACATTGTAAAAGTGTCATAGCGTCCATGGAATTATGATACATTTAAAAGTATCTAGTCTATAGTCTAGTCTCTACGACTTTTAAACGATCCGAAATATAATTTCCTCTAACTAATTTAGAGTTATATTCTTAATTTTACGAAACTATAGTTATGTAATTTCAGATTAAATCGACTTCAAAAATGTACTCGTTAATTGCAGTCTGTGTAAAATCTGAAAATCTATTAATGTGAGTTCAAGTTCTCGTTCGTTAATATATCTTATAGAAATAACTTATAGAAAACACCTAATTTTAAACCATCCTTTAAAACTGCATACTTACTATACAAAAAATGAGGCTTACCAACTGTGGGGGCTTCAAACAATTTAAAGAGAAAGAAAATCAACGTTAAAAGATGGTCAGGGATTTTCAGATTGTTTATGGGTCTGTAATTCTTTGTGTTAGTTTGGCCATAAAAATGGAAATTTGTTTTTACACATTTTTTTCTTCCAAACATACTAATTACAGTTAGTTACTTTTTGTAAAACAAAATTTTGGAATAAATTTTTGTTTGTTAAAATAATTAAATAAATTAACAATTTTAAGACACAAATTAAAAGAAAAATTCAAAGAAAAAAAAGAGAAATTTGAAATATTTAGACTGGCAGGCTTACGCTGACCCTGATATAGTTTATTTTTCAAATGATCTATAATTATTGATTTTTTCTCAATTTCGTTTTTTTTTGTATTGCTGTTTATCTTTTATTTTCCACCACCCACTAGATCACCCCTCATTTTAAATGAATTGTGCAAAAAAGAAGCAAATTAAGGGTGTATCAGGCAGGTGAAGTTCTGTCTATGTATTTCATGTTCTATTCCTGTTTTTAATGGCCAGAAACAGAAATCAAATTATATTTTTCCACGAGTTTAAATAAAACAATGCCAAGTTTCAAACCCCAGCTGAATTTTGCTTATCTTTTGTAACTTTTCCATAAATTTTCATTTCAACTCCATGATTATTTGAGACCATGTGTGTGCCTGACTGCCGGTCTGCCTGCCAGTATGTATTCCAAAAATAGCAAGGAAATGGAAAAATAAAACAATAATTCTACACCACACATACTCAATACTATTAGTTTTGTCATCACACCATCACTTTTAGTTTCTATAGGGGTTGATAAAATGCGTCGTTTTTTCGACAATGAATGGGAGTTAAAGAAAGTACTCGCACAATAATTCTACAATCTTTGGAAGTGGAATGATATTCAAGTGGCACATTGTGTTTTTTTGGTGCGTATGTTGAAGAAGTATATATTCTGGTAAAAATGTTTACTTGACGCATGAAAATATTTCCTATATATAAATAAAACGAAAACATATGACAAATTTTCACATATTTTTCTTTTATTTAGTTTGATTGTTGAAAAAAATGTGTTGACAAAAGAGATACAATATATTGCATGTATGTACTATTCATTTATTATTGTTTTTATTGCTTCATTTTTATTAATATTTATAATTCAAAATGTTAATAATAGTAGAGAGTTATTTAAATTTATAACAAACAAGTTTACAACTTTACTTTAAAATGTCCTCATTTTTTATACAATTATCTTATTGTAAGGTGACATTAGTTTATAAATATTTTGATGATAAATTAAGGATATTCAATTAAACAAAAATATTGTATGTGTAGTGAGAAGATAAAATATCGTTAATATGTTTTTTATTGTATAAAATTAAAGACAGATCTGTTACAAATACTTTCTAAAATTAATTATATTGGTTGAGAATGTTTTATTTATTAGCGTTAAGACTAAAAGTGAAACCAAATTCACAAAAAATTATTAAAAATTATTTTTTTTTATCAAAAATCTAAATTTCACTAAATACAATTTCTCATCCTTTGCTAATATTTAAAAAAATAGTTTGACTTTTTTCAACAAATATAAATACATACATATTAATTTATTTATTTATTTATTCATTACAATGCAATTACAAATTATATCCCAACCTATACGCCCGTTGTAGTGTAGAAGACCAGAGTCTATGGGAAGCGAAAGCAACCCACCCACTAGCTTAGCGTAGCCTCATTTCAAAAAACCCTGTATGACCAAAATGTCCCCACCCTAACTCTGGTAGTTCTTGACCGATGGAGACGAAAATTTGTGTCTGGACTACTATCCAATAGTACTAACAGAAACTAAAAAATTATCATTATAATGATAAACTCCATAATTTCTTATTTATTTTTAAAACTTTAAAACAAAAAATGTATGTTTTCTTTTCTAAAGACTTTTCAACATTCTATTAAAATAATTTAATTACTTTATTAGTGTCATTTGTTTTATTTCTAAGGTGCGTCCTCTCTTATCTTTCCAAATTATTAACTTTTAATTAATACACTCACTACTACTTCATCTTTCTGACTATAAACTTTAGAAAATATTGTAAACTTCGATTAAGTTCGATGTTAAACCTCATTTCATGTTCGATAAGCAACAAAAACTTTGAAAATTACCATTGGTCTAACTTCTTACCATCTTCCCTTCCAACATGTTCGAAGCGAACGTAATAACAACGAACATGGCAAACAAACACAAAAGCCGGCTTTATAGAAAGAAAAATGCAGACCCAACGAAACAAATTTTCATTCGAGTCTTGCAACGAGTCGTGAGTGGTTGTCTTTAGTTGAGAAGAACGGATTCATTCAGTCAGATTTAAATTTGCCAGTTAAAAGGAAGTTTTTAATAAGAAGTGTATTTAATATTTCTTAATAGAAAAAATCAAATTCAATAAGAAAATTTAGAAAAAAAATAATATAAACACTGTAACCAACAACAATTAGAAAAAATATCCTTAATCATCTGAAAAAAACCCAACCCAAAGTGTTTTTTTTGAAAAGTGAAATTATTTTGGAACAAAAAATAAATTCATACACAACAACCAACCTTAAAAGGGTGTAACAGAATACAGAAAAATACAACAAGAAATAAAGGTTAAAAGCCGGTTACAAATCAAAAGAAGATTGTGAATAAATACGGGGAAAAAAGTAAAAAGAATAAAATAAAATTAAGAAAAAAATCAAAGCAAATATTTTTAACAAAGGATTTGTTTCGCAAAACAAAAGAATTTTAAATTTGAAGTAAGTTTTATTTTATTCATTTATATATTTTTTAATTGTATACGCAAAATAAGAAAATGTAAGCAGCTAAAAGAAGTTGTTAACACTTTAAATATTAGCAAAACTTTTTTCATTTTAAGCAATTTACCAAAAGAGGTTTATGTGGGGGCTTAATTAAATAGGTATTTTAAGTTTTTTCTTTTCTTCTTTTTTTAATTTCTATGTAGATGGACTATTATATTTTTTATTATTATTACGGTTTTAGTTTAATAATTGGTTTGCTTTGCTTATTTTTGCCTTTTTCTTTATTTGCTAGCGGTGCAAAATAACCGGCTCTTTTTGTTTTCTTGTTGTTGTTGTTCATTTATCTAATTACCGCGACATTGGCATTGCATTAAACTTTATTGTATTTTCCCCCATTTTCCACTTTTTTTTCACTATACATACTTATTTTACATATACTATTTTTATGCACATGTGTAAGTAAATATAATTGTATATAATATATAGATACATACATATGATTATGTATGTACTTACACACAATATATAAAACATTATTATTAAAAGTTGATGATGATGAAGAAGTAGACGAAGAAAACATAAAAAAACTTACACTTGTCTACGAGTTTACCCGACACCACCTTTTCTTGCTTTCGAAGATTGCCAATTATGTATGTATGTTTGCTTCAGACTTGTGTTGTATTCGCGCATACTAGTAATACGTAGGACGACCGAGAAATTTTGCCCAAAGGTTTTACTGCTCTTAAAGTTGTAAAAACTTCCAACACAAATTCATTTAGAAACTATTTTCTAAAAGCTAATTATCCCTAACCTTTATTTGGGTTTCATATTAACGATTAAAATAAAATCTTGAAAATTCAATTCTGTACCTTTCTGCATAAAATCTTTGAAATCTATGCGCAAAAACTTTAATTGAAACACTTGTTTTGTTTAGAAGTTATTTTTTATAACATTTCAAAGGTATGTATTTTAAATATTTTTGAATTCTATTAGATTTAACTCATACTTATCGGTGACAGTAGGATATCCAAATCTATTGATTCTCTTGAGCACCGTCGCAATGTGAGGTGTGTTTCACTGTTTTATCAATACTAAAATGGAATATGTTCCTCTGAAATAAGAGATATTCCCGATACATGCAGGTTTACACGCAACACAAGCCTCTCTTCAGGAACACTCCCATTTGTGGTCGATTGGCCAGTGGATCGCACAATGTTTTACTGTACTGATGTACTGTCCGTACACAGTGGTCTTACCTGTCACGATGTGGGCAAATTTAAGTCGAATGTTTACAAACACTACTCCCTATATCCCTCCTCCCTTAACCTATTTTCCTAGTTCCATCACAATGCACAGTATTAGTAAGGGTCATCCTCTGAGTGATGGTCCTAATAAGAAAAGTATGGAGAAGTTTGTAGACACCACCAAGAAACCTCGCTCTTCGAGACGGAAATTAGGGAATAATTGTAAAATACTTTCATATGTATATGCTCTAAGGATTTAATCCTGCAAACCAGATTCCACCTATCCTAGTTGCAGTATTATCGAGAATTCACGGATTGGAGCGAAAAAAAAATTCTACAATTTTGCTTTTTACAGAACTACAATTCGCTTATTTTTTGAGTCTTGATATTATATAGGACCCACTATTTCTCCTTTTATATCTAAGGGACAGTAGATAGGTTATTTTTAAATAGGGGCATTATTTTAGCATTAATCCTTCTCACAAAGTCTCGTTGGTTCACTGGTCCCTCTTCGTAATGAGAACTTTAATGATTCCATAGAATACCAAAAGTAGAGTGATCTACACTTAGAAATAGAATAGCGTTCCGACGACAATTGGATTCCAGTCGCCCAAAGTTTGTCAGTTCAACAACAGCAGTAACAACCGGGATTTTATCCCCTTCATTTAATGAGCATATTTCAGCGTATTAACTAATATATCTAAGATCTATCTTACATCAATTAGAATGATCAAATTATTATTACAAATCTTTGTATGTGGTCTGATGTGGTCATGGAACTCTTGAAGTAATAAAATCAAAATGAGAAACATTATTTTTTAATGGATGTCCTTTTTTCATTGTCATTAAATAAAATTAGAGTTATTTACCAAAATTAAAAAATCATCGTATACTAGAGTTACCAATATACTTTTCATGCGAGTTCATAGCCTAGCTGAGAATTTTATCCATTATTCTTCATCTCACCTGTGATTTATATAGAAGGATTGAGATTGAGGGTTGAGGGCAAGTTTATTTTTACACATGTGAGAGCATTGTTTTCTTATGAATGCATTTGTATTTGTGTAATCAAACAGAAAATATGCTCTAAACTAATTTGCTCATGTTTAATTTATAAGTCCTGTTTATTATTTATTTCTTCGTTCGTTTGCTCATACACAACGTTTGCTCGTTTATTGTTGTCATTTTTCTTGCAACTGAATTATTGCAACTTGCAAGTATTTTCATCATCATCATTTATTCTCTTTGATTTGCTATTGTTTAATGAATTTTCTCAGATCAAATGAATTGAAAGAAAATAAAAATACAATCGTATTCAAGCAAATCATATATCATTATTTCCAAGGCAATGTTGTCGTATTCGTATCATCATTCAAAATACACTTTGTATTCGATTAGTTTGTCTGTCTGTCAGTCTGTCTTTTTGTCTGTTGATATGAATGTGAAATTAAAAAGAGTTATTTATGTACGTTGATGATTATTTTATCGTTAAGTCTTGTTAACATTCACACCGGGAATGCTGTACGACTACATTGTTTTCCATTTTACTTACATGTGATCCAAAATTGGTCAGAAGCGAACATAATAAGATTCTCTTCAGATTGTTCCAAGTTTCTGAAATAAATTTAATTGGTCTATATATGATGTTGTTGTGCAAGTACATATTTTGTTTATTTTTATATTTATTATTATTAATTATGATTAAATTGTTGCAATACTTTTCTATAGTAGTAGTTTTTCATTATTATTGTTTCTCTTTGTTGTTTTGTTTCGTTGGTTGTTGTTGTTACTCTTGTTTCTTTTGTGTATATTTTTCTTATTGGGGAGTTTTTTTGTGTATCTATTTTTCCTATTCAGACCTTTTACTACCTTTTTTCGTTTCGTTGGTTCTAGTTGTATCTTTGATATTGTTGTTATTACCCAGCAGTTTTACAAGGAGTAAGTTTTTTAAAATAAATTAGAAATAAGGGAAGACACCAAAATTAATCCATTACAAAGCCAATTGTCTTTTGTAATAGAAGACTTCCTCCCATGACACACACGTTCATGTTAAAATAACTAATTGCTGAAATTGTGACTAATCCTTAGTGGTTGTTAAAATCTTTAGCAGAGGACAGGTTATCCCAAACTACAGGGTTGTTATTATTTTCAAGGGCCATAGTTGTAGTTGACGTAGATGATGATGTTTTCATTTCATCTCCTTTTTAACAGGATATTCGTACGTTCTTGCGCTTTTGGGGCGTGTGCTGCTGCTGTCGCTTTATTGTTTGTGTTTACTTCATGTTGTTGTTATTACTGCATTGTTTGTTCTTGTAGTTTAAAACATTTCTCCCCACATTACACGTTCTGAAACCATAAATTTCAGTCTTTATTTCTTTGTTGTTATATCGTGCAATTTCAACACATTTACCTCAATTTTTTTAGACATACAAACACTCGAGTAATTCTTTGTTAATTTGAGTACATGCTCAAATATTTAAGTTTGTATGAATATTCTGCAGAAAAAATAAATTATTTCGCAAATTTAAAAACCATTAAATTTGGTCATTGATCTGCGGGCCGTTTTGAGAAGACATAGTTGGTATTGAGACAATGTTTTTCCCATAGAGAGATCGGAATTTACAGTGATGAAAGAGTTCAGTTATCCTCGAGGGGTTATTTAATAGTTTTCAGTATGGTACATACTATTATTTTGTGCGTAGATTTACTGCGTTAATGTAATGTTTAGCTTTTATTATTTTTCTGGATTCCAGATAAAATTCCACACAGCACCATTTAGACGTACATTCATAAAATCATATTATAATCGGTCCCTATTTGATTATGGTATGCATATAAAATCCTTTTTCTTTTAAAACAGAGTTTCTGATTAATGAAAACATTTTCACAGAAGTTATATTATAAGATAACGTCAGAATTGTTCACAGCTCTCATAATTTGGACGTATTTTATAAAAAAAAAAATTAACTTAATAGTCCCTTGAGGTTTTAAAAATAGTATAATTTGTTCAAATTCAATATATGTAATAGAAAAATACAAAATTCAATGTTATTTTTTACCGAATTTAATATTTAACATAAAATTTCCCCAAAGTATAAAAAATATTTCGAGACTGATTTAAAGTTAAATGAAAATAAATAATGAAGCTGTGTCACTTGGCAACACACGAATAAATTTTGAACGTATTTAACAGCAGCAACAACAGCAATTGCAATAACAGCAACAACAAATAAAAAATAAACTTCAACACAAACACATGGCACTGACACATGTTGGCAACATACGATACAAATATGAGTGTTAAACACGATATGGGGATATTTGTCTTATATTATTTTTTGAAGGCAAGAAATCGGTGGAAATCGTATGTGCAATAACAAAAAAAAAAGCCAATGAATAAAAAAAACGCCGGGCGCCAAAGCAAGAAAACACCAAAAGCAGCTACATCAGCAGCAGGAGCAACTACAAAAGTAGAAACAAACTTCTGGTCATAATACAGTCACAGACAATGTATGACTGTATCCATCTAAGTATTTATCTGTTGTACTCATATTTTGGTTGGTTTGCTGTATATGTTCTGTTATGTTGCAAATGCAGCCGACAGACACATTTTCCATTCAACACTGAGTCATCGTCAACACAAACTAAAACCAACCAACAACGAAATCCAACTAAACTCGAGTGTAGTGAAGCGTAGTGAAGAGAACTCTACGTGAATGGTTGAATGTGGGGGATCCTTGGTAAAACAAACTAAAGGAATACAACGAAATTGTATATACATATTTATAAGTATGTACTTCCATACATATGTATGTATGTAAATATGATTGTTTTCAAGAATATGATTGCGGGTGCAATGAGCCTCCTGCAAATATTCAACATAAAAAGATATAAATTCTGTGATAATCTTCAATACAACGCACAATTTGTAGCTGATTCAATAAGCATGTGTAAATAACATGGTACAGAGTCCATAAAGTAGAAACATTTAACGCTTTGCATTATTTGTAATAATTTTAGATGTTGTTGTTGCAATAACAGATTTATGGCACTGCATGATTATTAAACTCGAAAATGTATTAAAAAATCTTTGACAAGATCATACAGACATACCCCGGTATTAAAAAAGTTATCAATGGTTTATAACTGCAGTTTTTAAATAACTTAGGGATACAAATGGATTAATATGAAATCGTTTTTCTTGGGACTGATTTATTTATAGATTTTGTAGAAGATTATTTTATTTATTTTTTTTTCTTAACATATTTTTTATATCATTTAAAAAATTATTTACTTTGCACTCAATAAAACATAATAGACTTTAAATCCCATGGACATTTTCACTTAACACTTTCTAAACTACAAACTCTCCTGAGTAATTTAAACATAAATCACTTTTGTTTTGTATTTATACTGCGTATTAGCACGCTATCTATCACCCTACCTCTTAGACATGGTGTTTGAATTAAATTTTAACTAAACTTTTGCTTAAAATGTTTATGGAAATGGAGTAAAGTAGTTTAGATAAAAGAATTATAAACAACCCTTAATGAAACCCACATTAACTTTTCGAAAATGTCTGACTTTCTGTTTATTGTCTGTTCCTTTTTTTTAAATGCATAAAAACTTTAAGCCAAAATTCTTAATGACATTTCCTAAGCCCAAAATAAAGGTGTGTAATAAAGAAAACACCCCCGTAATAAATACATACAATATTTCGAAAATTTTAATGAAATTTACTCAAAATACGCATTATTTGGCAAAAATTATATTTAAGGGGTGGTTTGGTTTGTACACTGCAAAAAGAAATACATATTTATAAGAAGAGATTAAATTTAATGTAAAACATACCTACAGTTTATGCCAAAAATAAAATTATATTTAACTAAACCTTTTGTTTCGGAAGTGAGTCAGAATTCTTTTGAAAACTAAAAGCAGATTGGACAGAAAAAGAAAAAAATTAATTCAGTAACCCTGTTCGTAAATAAGACCCTACATAATTCCATCTTTAATTCCCAACCTCATATTACAAACGTATAGACAATATTATAGAAAATTCCATATTCCTAGTGAGAAAAACGAAAATATCTCCTTTATTTATGGACCAATTTTTCTGATTTTAAATAGCGTTCTTCCGAAAGCATGTCTTAAAGAATTATATCTGGGATTTTCTAAAATCTGATATCAACATACAGGGGTAAAGAGGTGCTACCAGTACCTCTAGTCTGCCGGTACTATAAACTGGTGATGTCAATTCACTCCTCGAAGTTTCATTGGAATGATTTGACATGGGGTCGAACCAGAGAACGAAATAATCTGCTACTACGGGTAGCCAGTTGCCCGCAGGACTTGTCCTAGCTGGTCAGTTGGTTGAAGTTCCTTCGAGATCCACGTACTGACTGTGATTACATCTCGGAAGTTAAGCAACGGGGCAGCAATGGTCAGAGATTAGATAGCTCAAGTACTTTAGCAAAGTGCACGTATAATGGACCGGAGATTCCAAATAGGTAAATTGCCACCTGAGTGTAAGAAGCGAATTCGATTTATCAATGTTTGTCTGTCTGTCTATATATGAAGATATTTCCAGAATTTTGAATTTTCGAAAGATTTTTGAATTTTTTTGGAAAAAGTTGTACGAAATTATTGTTGCAACCAGCCAATATTAAAATATAAATTTTGTATTAAAAATATGCCTTGAATTAAAAAACAAAGTTTTAAGAACATGACTCATTCCACCCTTTTCATATCGAAATAAAAATACTTTAAAACTTCTTTAAATATGTATATCTTAAATTGTTAAAAATAAATTAAAACTGAGTCACGAATATGTCGCTAAAAATTTAATAAAAAATTAACAAAGACTATAAATAAGATTTATGTAGTAAAACGTTAAATTACTTTAAATGGTAATTTGTTTATGGCTGGATTGCATTTAAAATACAACAACACATACATACATATGCATACAATTTAAAATTCTACAACTTATTGGCTTCCGTTCAATACCGGAAATCAGGTATGCATTTGTATGTGTTTACATATCAATGGGTGGGTAAGACTTATTTGATGTTCGAGTGTAAGCAGTTATTGATGACATTTTCTTGGGGTATATATGTATATTGTTGCTGTTCGTTTGTTTGTTAGCTTTTTAATGGTTTCTTGAGACTAATGTTTACTGAATACTATTATGCATTTTAAATGCAACATATTTACATACATACATACCTACCGATATCACTCTATGCAAAGTAAATACTTTACGAGTTTTGTAGGAAATGTCAAAGAACTTTATGTAAAATGTATTTAAATTAAAGTGTTTGTAAAAAAACGACAGCGACATTGTTGACAAAAGGAAACCCATACAATTTTTACATTAAAATGCACATTTAGTTCACGCATGCAGTCGTAGTTTAACTCCGTACAATTTTTTCTAGCACAGATGCCCTTGAAATAAATAATGTTGCTGTTGCTATTTTTAAACATTTTTATTTCTATTCAACTGTTTTTTTTTTTTGTAAAAAACTTGTAAGTTTTGTGGTTTGTATGTGTGTATAATAATTGTTTCAATGTAATCCCCCGTGTAAACACAACACATCATACATACAAGCTGCAAAACATCTTAAGTTGTAATCTTTTGGAACAAAACGTCACCACAACTATTATGGAGTGCTGCGCACCCAATAAATGGTGCAACTTTTTATGAAAAGAAAACCTTGATGTAGTGTTTTCCAATTGAAACTATAGGACAACTGTTCAAAGGTGAAACAACACCGTAATCCACTGGCAAATAGTTGACACTACTCACTTGGTTTTTTCGAATTTTACACATCAATCGTAGAGGAAGTCCATAGTCTCCATCTTTCTTTATAGACTGATTTGGATCAAAGCTAGGCATGGAAATTGTTGATTTTTTATTAAAGTACAAATCTTATTTCTTTCTTAAAATCCGCTTGTTTTTGTAAATTATCACAATTATTATTAATTAATCAAATATTTTGCTTTTCTTTCTAGATCAATTTTCTTGTCTAAACAATATTTGTAAGTATTTTAATTGACTTCCGTTAAAATGTAGAACAAATTAACCAAAAAAAGATAATTTTTAGAAACTAATTAATTAGATTCAGATAGAAACACTAAACAAACTATTTTTAGTATTTTAATTTGCGTTGAAAAATTCGGTACATAATAAGAAATCTGAAGCTACATTAGGGGTATATCTTTTATTGAAGAAAATTAAACGTTTTTCAAAATTTTCACTTCCTGAAATTTTTTTTTTCAAAATTATATAAAAAAACACTAAAACATGGTGATTAAACCCGAGTCATTCAAGTTCCAAAGCTAAGATTTTATTGTCGTGGTAACGTCAAATTTTAGTTACCCTCCTAATAATGTTTACGTACTATACAAGACAAACTACAAGAATTTTGATAGAAATTTTAATGAGGGAGTCATTCATATCAGTAAAAAATGCATGAAATAAGATAAAATAAAAAAAAAACAATCTCGAAAATTATTTCACGCTATATGGGAAGTTATTTTTACTTTGAAGAAGCAATCGCACGATATGCTTGATTTCAGATTGAAAATGTATTTACTTGACAAATAAAACAAATACATTCGAATCCTTTAGATTCAGTAAATATGGTAATTTTTTATAAATATCGTTTTTATATATTATTCATTCAATATCCACCAATATCTTCAAAATTTTATTTACATATGTGTGTATGTAAAGAATAAAGTTTTAAGGGTCAAAGAACTTTTTTTTTTGAATTTAAGTCAAAAAGTAAAAACAGTTCTATATGAAAAGCATCATAAACCTCACCATATGAATCATGTTTTGGTGCTTTTTAAAACGTTTTTGTTCATTTCTTATTATTGTTTTTTTGCATTCAAACAAATTTTACTTTGAGTTAAGATTGTGAAATGTTTTTTTTTTTTTTTAAAGCAATTGTTTTACCACAAGTCTGTCATGGCTGTTTTTTTTTTTTTTTTTGTAAAAATCTTGAAAAAAACAACAATAAGTACAACAAGCTGCATGAATACAATAGGAAATAATAAAGGGGAACTCTAATGTGAATTATGTCGCGCCAAACGGTTTCTATTTTATACACATTAGTTTTGCTCCATTGGAATGTTGATGAAAATGGAAATGGTAATGGAGCTGGTGATGGCAACATGAAGAAAAACATGCAGCATGCAGTATTTTTGTATGAGAGTTGTGAACTGAAAAATATGTTTTTTTTTTCTTTTAACTCATACTCACATCACGTTTCACGTCTTAGTTTCATCATCATCATCGTGTTCCTCAACGTCATCATTATTTGTTCTTGTTAATTTTTCTGAAACACTATTCTTTCTTTGTGTTTACGAGTGTTTACAGGAAGCTGTAGTAAGTGTTTTACTACAGTTGTGTCTTAAGGGGTTAAGACATACTTATGCCAAAGAAAATAATAAGTAATAATTGGAATTTTAATTGAATCCTTTTTAAGTTACAGAAAATCCAATCAGCTGTTTGTTTGAAATCATTATTTTTTTTCTAAAGTACCTAGGAATGTATAAATGAGTGATTATAGTAAATGTAATTTCATTCTTAACACGATATGATATTTTGATGACATCAATTTTATTTTATAAAACGTATTTATCCAAACCAGCTCATAGAAAAGTTTTGGTAAGAGAAATATTGGATTATTTAATGAGATTATTTGAACCCATGGGAAGTAGTATTGTGATTTTAAAGCACCAAGTTTTAATGGTTATATTAACAGCGCAATTCCGGGAACTTGTGTTACTTTTATTTGTACGTCTACTATATAAAATCATTACCTTAATAAACATATCTCAGTTGTTTCTTTAATCCCTTAAATAAAGAATTACTTTAACAATTAACAATAAAATCGATTAAAACTGTTAAAAAATGAAAGTAGACACATTCTTCATAAAACTTTTTACTTCATAAAATGATGAGAAAAAATTTCAAATTGTTAATAGCTGTGATCTAAATTTCTTTTTATTAAATATTTCTAATACTTATCAAATAATTATGGACAACATATGGAGAGTCTAAAACAGCAGACAAGATTGTTATTGTCTGCCACTAACAGAAATCTATAAAAAAGACATTAAATTAATTGATTAACTCTTTTTTTCTGTTACTCTTCAATCAATATGAGTTTGATGTAAAATATTTTATTGATTGAATGAAAGCAATTTATTATGTTTGAATAAATGTCATTTTTTTTAACAACAAAGCATTTGAGTTGTTATAACGGTCGTCGGGTATGTATGTAATAATTTACATAAAACTGTAAAATGACACACACTCTATATTTTTGTTTACATATTAGATTAGAAATCTTACTTAATTTATTTTTTATTTAATTGGAAGAGGACAAATAAAACAGATGCTACAGATGATATCTGTATACAACGTTTTGTTATTCAATAGAAAATTATCTTTGATTAGTTTGAGAAATAAAAGTCAAATATGATTTGAGTTGTATTTTATGGACTGTTAAGTTGGCTATTGAAGTAATTTGAAGCTAATTTAAGTCTAAAAAAAAAAAACAATAGTGACAGCTGTTAGATGACAGTTCTGGAATTTTGAAATACTAAAATAAAATGAATTTTAAAAGGAAGAAAAAAGGGAAACAGCAAGTATGTATGCACTATAAAAAATAGAAATTCCCTGGTCCGAAATTTTAACTTCTCACAGTACAGAAGAATGCTTTTGAAATCTTACGCTAAAGATGGAATCGATTTAGTCGATTGACTAGACTTTGAGCTAGACATTTTACTGGTTTTTGACTACACTATGGACTAGTCTATTGACTGAAGTGTTATATTATCTAGTCTGTGGACTAGTCTATAATCTAGTCTATGAACTAGTCTATAATCTAGACTATAGACTTGTCAAAGAACTAGCCTATTGATTCTCTAGGCTACTATGAATTACTATATTGGTTAGTATTTAATAGACTAGTCTATAAACAAGTCTATTGATTGATTAGGTTATTGACTAAGTTATACTTAAACTAGTCTATGGGCTAGACTTTTGGCTGCTGTTTGACTACACTATGACTAAGTCTATTGACTAGTCTTTGAATTAGTCTATGAGTTAATCTATTGACTAGTCTACGAACTATCAGCTAGTCTATTGACTAGTATTTGGACTAGTCTATTAACTAGATTACGGACTAGCATATGTTCTAGACTTTTGACTGGTCTTTGACTACATTATGGACTAGTTTATTGACTAGTCCATAAAGTACACTATGGGTTAGTGTACGAACTAGTCTTTGAAGTAGACTATTGAATAGTATTTGAACTAGTCTATTGACTGGGTTGTGGGCAATTCTATGGGCTAGACTTTTAACTGGACTTTTAATACACTATGGGCTAGTATATAGACTAGTCCATGAACTAGCCTATTGACTAGTCAGTGAAGTAGTCTATTTATTTATTACCTAAACTATTGACTAGCCTATGAACTAGTTATTGGCTGGTCTATGAGCTAATGTATTAACTAGTATACGAACTAATCTATTGATCAGGTTCTGAACTAGTCTGCGGATTAGTCTAATACATACATATGTAGTATGTATGTATTTCGGGATGTACTGCTATATTTTTCTTTGACAAAAAGTACAGAAAAAGTACTATAGCGCTAAATTTTCCATCTCTGCTATAATTGTGATTTTATAATATTTTTTTTTAAATAAATACCGCTATTGCAAATCAAATTGTCAATTTTGAAATATGTACATATACATACTTATTGATAAATAGTATCAAAATAACACATTTAAATAATTAAAAAAATAACCAAAAATTTTGTTATAACGTTAACTGAATTTCTTTAAACATAATATCACTTCCAATTACGGCTAAAATTTGGAATTAGACAAAACTAACGTTTTTAAAAATTATACCATTTTAAACATTTGCAAATAACTAATAAATTTAGTTAGTTTTAAACAAACAATACATATTATTATTATACACAATACAATTCTTTTAGCCATTTTTGAAAGAAATGCCGCATATGGTATTAAATCAAACAATTTGGCAAATTACTTTAAATCTTTTGCGCAAAGCGCAAGCTAAGAAATGCAGATTGTAAAATAAGCTTTTTGCTGGAATTCTTAAAACAAATTAAATGTGTATTAACCATTTGCGGTGAGATCTAATAAAATAATACGTTAACAGTTAACAGTTACATATCTTGCTAAATGTGTTTTAATTACTCACATTGTTTTTATAAAGATGTGATAAAAAGAAATGCTTTTCATTTTAATACCCTTGTTTCAAACAAAAGCAATTTATAATGAAAATCTTACACAAGATCATCTTTGATATTTAAGAAAATATAACGCCAAAATGCAACCTTCAATTAAAAGTGTCAATGTAAATAATGCTGATGATGATGGCGTTCATTTAGTCACAACAACGATAACCATCAGAGCCAAAACATATGGAAACCAAGTTGTACTTAGTTATCAACATCTAGATAAAAAATTTCATGCTAAAAGTATGAGGGATTTTTCTCAGCTTCATCATAAAAATACATATTTATGCATTACAATTTTCTAGCATGGCACACGACTAAGAGACAAGATCTGCAAATAAGTAATGATAAATTATACTATTCATTATTATTATGCGTGTTTAAAAAATTAATTGAATACAGAAAAAACCAAATGAGACTTGAAAAGAAAATTTCAACAAATTATAATTGAGTCTACAGGCCCACTTACAGCTTTTTTATACTTTTCAAACATGGTTTGTTACAGTAACTCATTTGGGAAGTGCAAAAAAAAAAAAAAACATTTACTACGTAATGAAGAATAAAAACGTTTTTCTCACTAATATTTCACAATGTTGTATTGTTGGCTTAACGTGCTACTATTTCAAAAATGCATGTGCAACATTATAAGTTGCAAATATTGTCATTGAATAAATAAATAAATATGTAAGTGCATACATATTAATATACATACATACGTACATAGATATGTGTAATGTGCTGTTCATGT